CTAAAAACGCTTCTGGGAAAAGCACAGAGAGTAAGGAAGAGCGCGTTTTTCTTCATCACTGATCAAATGAAACAGAGTGACAGTTATTTTCAAATTAAGAGAAGAGCTGAGAATAGGCGGCTCTAAAGTGATGCCATAAGACCTGCCAAAATGGCAGAGCACCTGTCTCTTATACACATCTAGATGTGTATAAGAGACAGATATAATAGTCTTCACCACATTAACATTACAAATAATAAATATAATAGAGCTATATCATTCAACATAATTTCCATGCGTACTTCATCTTAAACACTAATTGTTAAACTCACTTGAAAATTCTACAATTTGTTTTTATTACAAGTTTCCTCAAAAGAGAAAACGACTTACAGCCTCCTCTTCATCTTCATCTCCGAATAACTCAACGGCAGCTTGGGAGACGCATCATTAATTGCGCACTTGAATTTTACTAACAAGCCATTTAGCAAGCATTTAAAGCACGATTTATACCACCAACCACAAGAATCCATAGCGCAATTCTTAGTATTATGATCATCATTGTCTCTATCGTAGGTTGTGAAATCTCTACCACGTGCAACTGAAAGTACATCCCCTGAGGTAATAAAACGATTGAATAGAATTGAATAAGTTAACCTTAATTAATGTTCTCAATCATATTGGTATTGTTATATAGCCTACATAAATATTTAGCCTGCATTCAGATTATAAAATTTTATCTTGTTTCAAATATTAATTTTCAGCTTCTGGCATGTTCTTAATTTTCTTCTAAATGTTTTACGGATTTTTTCGTTTTCTTATGAGAAATCCATCAATCGAGTTTACTACAGCCAGGCGTGTGCTTCACTTTAAATAAATCTATTTTAATACCTGATTTTAGGAATAAAGGTTCAAACAATCACGTATCAAAGTATGTAGTAATTTATAGCTGTTTGGAAAACACTTTTCCAAAAGCATTATTTACATTTGGGTTTTCTGTGATAGGACTATGAACCAGAAATATCTTCCATTTTTCCCCTTTCCACCTGGTACCCCGATTTGGGTGTGGGATGGAATGTTGTCACTTGTTAATGCAGGTACGGTTCGTCGTATTCCATCAGTGAACATAAATAAGTACTGTACGGTACTGTATTCAAATGTACAGGGGGCGGTTTACATGAAGTCTCAAAGCGCTCGAGGTAAACTTAGTAGCATTTATTTCCTTCTTCACTCTTCACTTGGTGTCTGAGCTGCCCCGCTAAACCAGTGCTAGCTACTCTCTCATACCTGGGTCCTTGTTGAATATAAACTAATTGAGTTATTATGAGCAAATTGTGTAAATTTATTGATTTATAAATCAAGGGTTGCTACACAGAAACGTTTTTTGTATTATTATTACAACAAACAATAGGCCTATATAATTCTTTTTTTTTTTTTTTGCTGTGATCATCATCTAGTTCTGCTATGATCTTTTATCAAATTTTACAGTATCACAAATAAAAAGAGAGATAATTTTATATGCACAGGCTGCGTTCAAAAACTCACCTTTCAAGACAATGCGAACTTAACAGGTTTCGTCTTAACTGCTGATAAATTATATAATATATTTCCAAAAAAGTACGGCAATTAGCTACAATATTGTTTCAGTTTAGTCGGCTACCATAGCAAGATGGATTACAAACTTCTACTATTCTTCAAACATTTATATGAAATGCGACTACTCTAAAAATTTTACCTTGGCTGCGCCCTTGAAATGGGAGCTATGTGATGGTTCTTGGAATTGCCTTAGCTCATTATCCATAAAAAAAAAAATAATCTGCAAAGGAAAAGCAATGGTCTGACTAGCCCACATTTAAAATCTGTGCCTCACATTAAATTTTAAGCTACTGAGTTGAGGACCTGTTCGTATTGCCCTTGGTGCAGGAAAACTTATGGCGGAGTATACAAGTAAACTAAATGGGACTGATAGTAAAATAATGCTTACCAGCATTGTCGTCTATTAGAGCTCCAAGTTCCAATCTGTACTTGTCACTCTCTCCATTGACGGTGAACGATGAGTATGTTGCAAAGTAAACGTCACCATTTGTCGTAGTCATATCCAGTCGAAGGCTGTACTCTCCAGATGCCGTTATCTGATGGATTAGTTCGTTCCCTAGCCAGAAATCACACATAGTGCCGAAACCATTCTTGTAATCTAACCACGAATTATTAAAATCGGTCCAACTAGACTGACGTTTCTGAAAAACCTAAATTTACATCTAGCTGTTTTAGCTATAAACAACATTATCGGAAAAATTGCCATATGATTTGAGAGTCATATAAAGATTGGGGTTGTTGGGGTTTCTGTGCAAATTTTGTCTACAGTATTAAATGCTATTCAATTTCATGTAGATACTACGATATGGATATATGTTATTTTAGCGAATGCAGACAATACATTTGTAATGTATGTAAATGTAACTATAATGTTGAGATTACTTTTGGTAAAATCGTAATACTTATCTTGACAAAGCGAAGAAACAAGATACACTTACTATCCATCCTCCACCGTCGGTGACCATGTCGCAGTAAACAGGCCATGTCCTGGTTCCGTCGTTACTGGTAATTGCATATACTCCACTTTGAGAACTCGGAGAAGTCTTCAATATTTCACTGCAATCACGCTAAAAATTTGATTAAAAATTAATTATATTGATATAGTTAGATTGATCAAACAAGACAACCATTGCATTTTGTTCGATATTTCACTTACGGACAGATTTATTCCATATGTCATACAATTCTTGTTTTCTCGTTTAGGTAGCATCATGCACGCCAATAATTCACAGGATTTTGACACCTTGTCGTATCTGATAGAGTTACACTCCGGAAAACGCCGTAGACACATCGATGAACATTGGATCGAACCTCTTGCTTTGGTAGCATGGATAGTTCTACTAGGCACACAGTCACCATTTTGCCAATTATCTGGTTTTGCTAGAGTCGCAGTTCTAAATCTGCTACAGACTTTTCCTAAGGAACAGATAGACATTGATATAAATGTGTAGAACGACACCAAAAAGGTGTCCCCTAAAACTAACAATTTAAAGCACTCATCCAGCAATATACTATTTAAAAAAATTATATATTACGGTATAAAATGTACAATAAACAGCCAGACGGCTGAAAACGTTGAACTCACAAATATCATGATGGTGAAACTTACAAAATAAACATGCACAATTTCTAAAAAATATTAAGAGAAAAATAAAAATAAATAAACAAATTTAAAAAAAAAACAACAACTAAACGAATATATCTTTTCAGCCTATGCAGTTAGCTGTTTGTTGTTAATCAATTGTACTAATTTGATTTGGCGACTTTCTAATTAATTTTAAGTATATTTAGTTTTTTTACAAAGAGGTTTAAAGGGAGCAAGATAGTCTGAAAAAGTAATAATTCGAACGGCACGTTTAATTAATTTGTTAAAGCTTTTCTAAATTTGTGGGGTAGTCAGCTGCCCAAATTAGGTTGCAATAGAGAAGATGGGGTTGAATGAGCGTATTGTTAATATTGGTAGAGTATATTAGGGGAAGATCGCAATCTACTAACTACACTAATCACTTTAGGATTTCTTTTAGAAACATAATTTTGTTGTTTGATCCAACGTAAGTGTTCTTATATATACACCAAGAAGCAGAGTATAGTTTTTTTCGCTCAATCTACTATTTATTTCATTTTTTTAATTTCAAATTTGAAAGATTTCAAATTAGAAAGATTTATTTTTTATGTTGGTGTGAAATTTTTATTTGAGGCTAACCATTCAGTGAAAATGTGTAGTTCTGTGTTAACAGTATTAACATTTAGATCTAAGTGGGTATAAAAAAAATATCATCAGCAAAGGATATTACCGTTAGAGTATCACTTGTTTGAGGAAGGTCATAATTAACGAAAATTAAAAATAAAATGGGCCCTAATACAGACTCTTGTGGTCTTCCGCAGGTCACATCTCTCACTGATGGTTTGCAGTAACCTATGGCAACATACTGCTTGTGCTTTTCCTAATAGATTTTAAACCAATTTAATGCAACTCCCCTAATATCATAATTAAATAATTTACAAATAATAGTATTCTGGTTAATAACAGCAAAAGCCTTTAGATAAATCTAAAAAGATGGAGAGCAAAAACTGTTTATTATCGAAGTCATTCGTAATGTTATTAACTAAATTCAAGAGTAGCATGGGATGTGAAATGATTATGGCGAAAGCCGTATTGATGGGTATAGAGAATATTATATCTCTTCAGGTAATTATAAAGTTGTTGGTGCATAAGTTTCCCGATGATCTTTGAGAAAACGCTTAGGAGAGAAATATCTAGGCCTATAATTAGAAATTTGGTCTTTGTCTCCCTTTCTGTAGACAGGGGGTGCTTCAGGTAATCTTAGAAGATTTGGAAATACACCCTACGAAAATGAACAATTAATAGAGAATGTTAGTTGGTCTAATAGACATGGTAACATTTTTTTAATTATAAGTGCCGTGACCAGGTCATCACCAGTACTTTTGGTGATAATAGAGTACTACAGTGTTACGTCCTGATACTACTCCGTTGCTATCGTTGCAAAAAACGTTCAACCGGGCGCCATTTTCTCCACTGACAAACCATTGATCTCAATTCTTAACGTACCGTAATTATTAAGATGTTGTATCTTACTTTTTCTTTGTAAATTTTAATTGATGATTAAATGTGTGTTCGATAACTAATATAATGCGAGCTTTTGTGTTTTTATTACATTATGGTAAAATATTAGATTTTAAAATGCTTATTCCAGAAAACCTATGAAGTCATTCAGGCGTAATGAACTGTAACCAACGTCTGTTGACAACAGAGAGTGCCACCTGGCGTCGTGACGACACGACTGTGGCACTCTATGAGCATAATGTCGTCATTTGTGACAGGATTTATGAAGAAAGAGCGAAGATGTGGATCCGGTAAGTATGATATAGGATCCTAGGGGCATTTCACCATTCCTATCATGAGCAGTCAATATTTGTATATTATTAATTACCAACATAAAATCAACACTTCATCCGATTCGGGCAGAGTAAAAATACAACACTGTCAAAATAATATGGCCCAGGCATAACCACCAAAAAGCAAAATAAAAACATGTTTATATATTCAGGTATTTATTCATTCAAATTCAAAAATATATATACATAAAATTGTTTACTAGCAGCACAGAGCTTAGTTGCAAAACAAAGTTGTTATTAAAAGACACCCAAGACAAGACAAGCTAATAAATAATTATAAAAGATAAAACTTCATAAATAAATTTTAAAACAGGTAACAATCACAGACACTTCACTAAAAAGAAAAAAATTGACAGCAAATACATTAGTCATTAAGAATATAAAAATATTAAATAATAAATAATTTCATTCAAACCTTGATCTATTGCACAAAAATCCAATTCAATTGCCTAAAGACAGACATTAATCATTAAATTATTAAAGGCACATCAATAAAGACGTAATTTTAGTACTATTTTAAATCAGAAATCCATACTTAAAGAAGGAAACATCACACAAGAAGGCATTATTATGGTCTGTTACTGCGTCATAAACTGCTACGAGCGGTCAGAGCTCATTTGTCATCACACGAGGCATAAGGGAAGTTTAATCAATTGACCATATAGGGGATCGGACTATTTCTGTACCGTGTGGTGCGGCACTTGTAGTTTTTATTATTACAGGGGCCATCCATAATTATCAACATTTCCAAAAGAGTACGTACAAAACATACGCTTTGCGGAGGTGGGGGGTGGGGGTGGTGTTGAAAGTGTAGGCATAAGTACTTTTTTACGAAAAAGATAAAATTTTGATCTCAAAATAATACAAATCAACATTTTTTTGCATCTCTTTCAGGGGGAGGGAGGGGGTCACAGAAAAAAAGTATGATTTGTACTCTTTTGAAAATGTTGAAAATTATGGATTACCCCTAACAGGGGCGGATCCAGGATTTAAAAAAGGGGGGTTCAAAATATTTCCAAAAAAAACCCCAAAATGAAAGGGGGGTCCAGGAAAATTTTGATTCCTCTATAGGTGGCCGGAAATGAGCTTTCCCGACTTCTGAGGAGTCTTTTAATGACCTTTAAGTTCTTCAAAATTAAAGGTTTTTCCCCCTTGAAAAAAGTTCAGGTAATATTATTTCATTCTTTATGCCTATCATAGAGGAAAAAATCAAAGAGAGGCAATATATTATTATATTACAACAACAATGAGTAGTTAGATATGTAGTCTTTCTTCAATGGATCGATGAACCGATAGGCCTGAAGAACGGACTTTCGTACAACAATTATTATGACGGCGAACCAAAAACAGTGTGTATAATTTATTTAATTGAAAACTAGTTGGGCTAAGCCTAGTTTGTCTGATCTTCCAACCTATGCCTAGGTAGGTTAGCATGCCTGTTGTAAGCCAGGACCCAGTTGTATTTTGTTACGTTTCTTCACAGAGGGGGGTTCGTCCGAACTCCTTGAACCCCCCCCCCCCCTGGATCCGCCACTGACTAATTTTACGAAGGTTAACTTCAGTAATTTTGAAGTTTCAGCTCAAAGTTCGATTAAAATTCGTTTTAAGAATACCGGGGAATGTGTTCTATTGAAGTAAAGGGAAACCATGATTTAAACCTATTGCACTTAGCGGCCCTTATAGCGAACTTTAAACAAAGCTAGTCTCTACGGCTTGAGAGCCTCTCAAGTCCGAGTACAACCAAGGAGGATTCATACGAGTCAATTCAAGAAATTCCCAATATACATTTACACACTCGTTTTTGAACTCTTTCGATATTTTCAGTTTGTACCCTGGTTAGCCCGGGGTGCCAAGAGGTGCTCCATACTCAAGTATCGGTCGAATATAGCTTTAATAAACCGAGACTAGTTCATCAGCTGAAAGGCCTGATCTTTTTAATTCCCATAATAGAATTAAATATTTATTAGCTTTAGTGACAATAGCTTCAGTGTTACTATTCCATTTAAGATCATTGAAGATCGTTTTGTATTGTATATTTAGTGGATGCACTGCAATCAGCTGAGACGTTGGTATAAACGCACATGCTAACAAATATTGAACAAAATAGATGCAATAGTGTTTGCCCAACTAAAGCCATCATGGTTCACATGATATAATCTAGGTATGAGGTAGCAGATATTAACAACAAAAATGGATGAGTGTTACCATCCGACCACCAAGACAAGTATTTTTATTTATTTTTTTTTTTACAGAAAAAAAAAACATCCCAAGTTCTAAGTAAGGCTAGTGAAGCCATTCAAGCTATAAAGAAACCGAAACATAAATAGGAAAGTTGAATGGATATAGCCTACAGGTAAATAGTTCCGAGAGAAAACAAAAACGATATTAGAAGGAACTCGAGCACTAGGCCTAGCCTACGTTTGCCGGCCAATTCGCAAAATACTACTTTCTTCGTCAGAATATGAAACTAGAGTAGAGTCATGTATCATTACCGTACATTCTGTTGTTGCAAAAAAGCTTGTCGGGAAGGTTATAAATAAAGATAATTAAATAATAATAAGCTATATTATACGAATATAAATCTTATGCTATTATTTGTTTCCAGCCGTACCTATTGTGTAATGGAGTGTATCTGACGTTATTTGTATTTTCTTATCAAATAATTTGTTTTCGTTTTTTGGTGACGTCACACTCAGAATTTGGTTAACATATGCACACGTTTCTAAGATTACGTCACCTTTTTCTCCTTATAAAAAGCGTATTACCTTCCCGCAGTGCTTTCTTGCTCATTGATGTAAGTAGGCTACACACACAACAGATGTATTGTTAGTATTGCCTAATAGTTAGTAAATGCCATAGTTACCAACCGTCTCTCATCGTGCGGGACGGTCCCGCATTTCAAAATGATTTTGTGCGAAACACGCATTTTCCAAAACACTGGCGTGATCATAAATTTGTAACGAATTATCACGAATTCAGGGAAAACTGTATTTTAAAATTAGAAGAAATTGGTTTTATTAAACACATAAAAACGGTCATGCAGTAACTTGAGTCATTGGCAGTATTTACGTGAATACTTAATTCACTGATGCATTAACAAAAATTGATCAGTAGGCCTATGCCTATTAATTTTTTTGTTTGTTTAAGTAATGAAATGTTTGTTTACATAGTTCGGGTGCTCAAATTAAACGTAATGTACATTAAAACTCAAATTGCACGTGGCTTTATTAAAAATATTTTTTGTTTATGTAGGCCTATCCTGTCAACAAACACTCCCTGAAATTTGTTTTAGAACATCTTAAAAATGCTCACATCGTCGGAGCTACAGGACAGTCGCGTTTCTCTAGGGGAGCGGGGGATGGAGGGGAACACGCCCTCCAAAAAATACTCGCGTCCCCCCACCCGGGGGCCCCAAAAATAGCATGGGCAAGTTGCTATAAAGCACATAAAATCACGTTATTTTGCGAGTTAGCTTCCCCTCCCTTTAATTGATCATCGGAAACGGGGGGGGGGCATTGGCCCACCCACTTTTCTACTGGGGGGCCTGGCCCCCACTTTTGTGACTGTTCCCAGCACCAGTGATAAACATTTTACGAACGCTGCAATGTCATTATTATTATTATAATAATAATAATAATAATTATTATTATTATTATTATTATTATTATTATTATTATTATTATTATTATTATTATTATTATTATTATTATTATTATTATTATTATTATTATTATTATTATTATTAGTCAGGGCAATCTACGGTTTCAGACCACCGAAAGTGGACAAAATTGCAACAAAAGGTTTTTTAGCATGTATTTGAAGTTTATTTTGTGAAGGAAAACATACAAAAAATCGGACAAAATCTGAGAGATAGCTTTAGAAAATGGCTGAATTAAAGCATTACAGCAAAACGTTTAAGGATTTACTTTGCTATATCATAGCATTTTCTGAAACGAGACAAAGATTTACTTTGCTATCATAGCATTTTCTGTAACGAGACACAGCCACCCCTGCCAAAGAAGTAACGTTTTTGCACTGGTTTAATATCATCCTAATCAAAGAGCAATCCTACAGTACTGTATTCCGTTTCAATGGCATGTAAACATGAATACGGAAATCCTGTACGTGTGAACTCCTAAACTCTTGTGTACTGCGCTCAGATTTGTATAATTAAACGCAAAGACAAAATGAAAATACACATAAGGAAACTACTAATATAGACGTCCTAGTACTTAGCTGAATTTTGGAGTTTGTTTTGCATGTTTGATGTTTTCATGTAGACTTTTTTTCAAAATAGAATCCCTGGAATATTATCAATTTATGGGGCCTACAGACTGAAATAATACATAGGCCTAATTTAGTTAGTCTTATAGAGGTAGGGAAGGCCGTAATCACAGTTTAAACAATTAAATTATGGCCTTTTCTGTACTTGTCTACAAATTTTCCAATTTTAATCCCATGATGAACAAATTATTACTGTAAGAGACAATTTGTATAATATAAAATTAAAAACGTTCACAACATGACTGCAGAAATTAAGATTTATTGCTTTCTATTGTGAGATAGTTGACGATTACCTTTACCTCGGAAAAATGATCTGCTTGAGAAGGGAACAATCGAAGATGTAAAGTAATGAACACACCTAGCCTGCATGGGCTAAGTTCGACAAACTAAAGTACATCCTAAAAGACCAAGAGCTACCAATGTGTCTAAGAAGACAATTCAACAAATGTATTATCCCAGTATTTACATATGGTTGTGAAACATGGTGTCTCTCTCTCTCTCTAAGAAAGTCGAGAAATTACTGTGCGTCACAGTAAGGCGAATGGAAAGAAAAATGATTGTTGTCACATGGGAAGATAAGAACAAGACAACCGATGGACACTAAAGCAACCGTCTGAACACCACACAGCTTCTGAAGACCAAGAGGCAGACCCGGTAATAGATGGAGATCGATCTACACTATAATGGTGGGGTCAGTTGGATGCAGACTGCACAGAAGACAAAAAATGAAGGAATGATGAGGAGGCCTACATCCAGCAGTGGATTGGAAAAGGCTAATACTGTAAGTAACAATTTAAATAAGTATTGCCGGCTATAGACCCTATTCCAGAAAAAGAAAGGGTAACAGAATGTTAATAATATTTAATTCAATTAAGCATATTAACTTTACAATATTGTATAAAAGTTATGTATTATTCAGTGCAGGCCAAGGTCTTATTCAGCACACTGCGGGTCACTTGATCGACGCGCTAGGTCTCTCCTGGTCCGACTTATGGCAGGCCTATCGAACTTTTCCCCCCCCCCCCCCGGTGGTTTTTACCGGGCTCACCAAGCCGCCGTACCGGGCTGGGTAATAAGAGAAAAGAAAGAGGGGAGAGGGAGGGAAAGAGAAAGAAGAGGAAAAGAAAAGGAAAGGAAAATAAAAAGAGAAGAGAAAAGTAAAGACAAGAATAAAAAGGAAGATATCATAATGACCAGACTCACAACACTCTGCAACCCCTTCTCCACTTCAAAAACTGTCATAACTCCTTTGATCTATGCTGCCCGATGGCGTAACCACTGGGGGACAAGGGGAAAATATCCATCTTTGAAAAATCTTTCCCACCCCTTTATAAATGCTCTTTTCATCCCCAGAAATTGCCTAAAAACCTCAAATTTCGTGCGCTTCGCGCGCATTTCTTGTTGACATGGGCCAATTTCCTCTAAAAATTGCACATTTTAGGGAGTTTTGATCAATTCCAACGAAATTAGAATTAAAAACACCGGGAGACAAGGGGAAAATATCCATCTTCGGAAAATCTTTCCTCACCCCTTGACAAATGCATCCTCTGAAAGTGTCTAAAATTCTCAAATTCTTTGCACGCATTTCTTGTTACGGTAGGCCAATTTCTTCTAAAAATTGCACATTTTAGCGAGTTTTCATCAATTCCAACGAAATTAGAATTAAAAACACAAAAATATTTTGCGCGCTTCGCGCGCATTTTTTAGGGCTTTTTAATGTTTATCCTTTTAAGTTATTTAAACACATAATAGTCCCAAACTCAAGAAAGACAAATTTAAGATAGATCGTTTTAACCTAAAAGAAGGGCCTCAATGTGTATTGATGGTGAAAGAATATGTTTGTAATAAATAAAACCATGATGAAAATGCTTATATTTAGTTTCAAACACACGTGTGTGGCCTATATTATAAATAAGATAAGCCCTATGTCTTATTGTTTTCTATATTGGGAGTGGGGTGGGGTGAGTATGGTAAATTACTTGGCAAAATAAATACCCACTCTGATTCAAGACCCCTGTTACGCGCCTGGTGTTAGCGCCAATGTGTGCCCTTGTGCGGACAGGGGATGTGCCCCCTTCTGAAGCTGGAAACCTTGTTTTTGCAAAATAAATTGATGCAATTTCCTATTTATAGGCCTAATCAATAAATTCCTCATCAACCGATATAAGTTTAACCTTAAACATTTTTGGAATTGACATAATATTACTGATGTCGTACACACTTCAGTGTGAAATGTGGCTCTCTTTTCAAGCACATCTAACATCTAAGGAATGAAGAACTTAGATTGGTACCAGATGAAATAATTTTGTTATCAACATTTTAATACATATGCTAGCTAGCAGGTAGGACCTCTTGTTAAGTCAGATTTTGCTATATGTATTTACTTCCCCTGTTTGTAGAATAGGTTTGTGTTAAAGCATAGACCACAGATAATCTATGCAGACCACAAGTTTGTGGTGATTGTAATTCTAGATTACAGACAGTGAACTTAGCTATCTTCCAACTATGCATTCAAGGTTTGCCATTCTCACTTAGCAACAGACTTTCTTATCTTGTTTTGGAATAGTCACCAAAACAGTATATCAGTTCAGTTCATGGATTCAATGCAACAGGTTCTGGAGAAGAAACTGATGTAAGTTTATATTGAATTATGTTCTAGGATTATAGTTAATTAATAAGATTACATTAGTACTCTCATTGAGGATACAGTACTCTCATTTAGTACATAATCATCATTATTAGCAGTTTATAAATGCTGTTGACCAGTATGATATAATCAGGGACCTGATACTGTATAATAATTGCAGTATATTATGTCACTGTAATAATTATATATAATAATCACCCCTTAGATATATGAATTACCTTTATTTTTATATGTTTATATTTTCTATTTTATTATATGTTGTATAGCATGTATTGGTATTCTATTTAAATTGATATGATCATTGTCATGTGAAAATGTTTGGATTATACATTGTCCGTACGATTGTTGATACGGCAGGGTGTTCTAAATTGTTACATTACTCAGGTCAAACTGGTATCTTGCTCTAATGCCGGTAGGCGGTAATGTACTTTTGAGCTGTGTTCACGTAAAAATGACTATGATAATTGATTTAAGTATAGTAGAATATGGTAACATATTAAATACATACGGAACAGTAACCATTAAGGTTTTCTGTAGTGAGTTCAACTAACTACGTGAACTTACATTTTTATCGTTAATTTGTTATGTTAAATGTTTATAGGCCATAGAATATTTACTATTTGAAAGTAAACTTTAGGAAGTATTTGAGATTACAGCTAATTAATATCGGCCTAACTGTACCTACTCAGTATAGGCATTTGATAATTAGACTAAACATCTAAAATTGAAGGTTGCCAAGGCCATTTGCTCTCATTCATAGGTATTGTTTATAGTGTTGCTTAGATAATCTTTGCTATGTTCCTTTATTAGTATTACAGTATATTGCTACTGTATTATAGTTATTATCGTTTTATTCTAT